ATAAATAAATAAATAAATAAATAAATAAATAAATAAATAAATAAATAAATAATTTTAAAGGAGCAAATTGTGTGGGGGCCAGGATGGGAAGGCTAAGAGAATCGTTAAGCTTAGCTGGCCTTGTGAGGGACAGAGTCTACACCAGTGTGGACATCTGTATCCGGTGTTCTCTGCCCATGGCTGCCCCTGCTCCTCCTCAGACCAGCGCTGACTTGTGGAGACAGCCATTGTGAGCAGCAGCTGTTCAGTGCGTGCTCTGTAGCAAGGCGTGTGAGCTGAGCACAGAGGGCCCCTAGCTCAGCTGTGAAGGGCCTTGGGTTGGGGGAGGAGACCTGCCAGGGGTTTTCATGAGAGGTGTAATAAGCCGGGCTGGCGGGAGACATGCAGGGTGTGAGGTGGAGTAGACTTCCGGGAAGCAATAAGAGCCAGAGACCCCAAAGGCACAAGCCCGTCTTGATGGAACAGGCCCTCCCTGAGGGTCAGTGAAGCCTGGGGACCATATCTGGAGGAACCCTGACAGCTGCTGCCAGTGCTGAGTTGACCCAAGGGCATATGTGAGCTTCTGAGTCCGGTAGAGATTACTGAGCAGTGCTGCTGTGGGCAGAGGGGGGCTAGGAGCATACACAGAGTTGGTGCCACCGGGCACCATCTCAGGAGATTCCCCAGGGAGCAAAGGCTTGGAGGAGGGAAGCTGGGGTGGTTATGACCCTTTGCCCTCCCTCTCCTACCAGCATAGGCCAGGAATGGATTCAGAACAAGAGACAGAGTGAGACACTGGACAGAGAAGATTCAGTTTTCCCATGGTCCAGGGGAAGAGGCACTTCCCACAGATACAGAGAAACACAGAAGGGCTGACACAGGGCAGAGGTAGAAGGCTCTGGAACCTAAGTTCCTTCCTCCAAAGGCTCACTGTGACTCCTGACCCTCAGTGGCCAGGAGATCTGAGTAGGCCTGTCTTCTTAGTAGCTTCTTGGAGGCCTTCTCGGGCCTCCCAGAGTCTTTGAGTCCAGTGTCCAAGCATCTACAGTGAGTCTGGCCAGAGGCGAGCAGAGGCACAAGGCAAGATGGAAAACTGCCAGGGAAAGCTGGGTAGTCTGAAGGAAAGGGCTGTCCAGGCTCTGGAGCCTTGCTGGTGAACAGTGCTGGTGGAGAGAATGGGAGAAAAGGTTGAGGGAGAAGGAGGGTCTCCTCATGGATTCACAACTTCCCTTGGCTCTGGGAGTCTCATAGCTGCATGTTGACAGGAGAGTGACCTGGGTTCAAAGAGCCAGGGAAGCTAGAGTGTAGAGTGACTTCCTATGGCTCCCAAACAAAGAGCCCACGTGGTCAGCACAAAAGTGTGTCCCCAGCCTCCAGCAACAGATTCCGTCAGCAGCTCATTTGTCCTGTGTTAGCAGCGCCGGCTCCCGTTGGCAGCCGTGGGCACAGTTGGTTCTCTCTGGTGACTTCCTTTATAGTCTCTCTCTAACCAGCAGTATATGATTGGTCACATGCCCTATGTGTGTGCTGAGCACCCAGCACTTGCTCCGAGGTCCCTTTAGGAAGGATTGGAGCCTTTATTGAGATGCATGCTGTGGGATCAGATGGCCTGCCTCTTCGGTTGCTGGGGGCCTCCTGGTCACCCACTCTTCTCCATTTTTCTTTCCCAGACAGAGTCACACAGTGTAACCTGCCTCTGCTTCCTGCATGTTTGTGTGATGGGACTGCAGATGCGCCACCTTGCTCCACCCTACCACTTTTATTTTAAAAGTATGAGGTCAGCATCACCCCCTAGCCCCTAGGCACTCCCTGGATCCCCACTGAATACACTTCCTGCAATTAGCTCCTTTATCTGGAAGATCACTGGCCCTAGCTGCCTTCTGATCTACCTTGGTCTCTTCCATCCAGAATGGGTCCCTGAGCCCTGCCCTCAGTTGCCCTGGACTTGAAGTCGCCTCCTCCTCTCTGGGTGTCCGAGCCTAGGTGAGCACCACAGGTAGAACTATGTGCAGACACAGGGTACCACGCAGAGGGCCCAGCGAGTGATGCCAGGCACAGGGGAGCCCTTCATAAACTGAGTGTCCCATCTATGTCACTGCAGCCAGACCCACTTTGGAGGCTGATGACCCTTAGAGGACTCCCTCAGGGCTGGGCCCTGCAAGTCTTGTTGGAGATGAACCTTTGCCACGTGTTAGAGTCTTCACTACCCATGCTCATCTCGACTGATCTTATTTTAGGGTTGGCGCAGTATATATTTTTATATACGTGTGACATACATATGTAAATATGCACACAATGTAGGTGAATTAGTGGCATTTTTGCTAAGTGAGGATGTGGGAACCAATCACAGCCCCTAAGGGATGTCGGGAATTTGTGAGTGTTGCCAAAACAACACTGTGAGCCCAGAGGGTGAATGGAGCTATGAGTGCCAATGTTAATGGACAGAATGTGGCCTGCCAATGCTTGAGAAGTTTCATCTGTGCAGGGTAAGCTCAGCACCCCAGCTTTCCGTTTGTAGGATTTGGGGGTGTGCGTTCTCCTCTGCTCCCCGGATACTTCAGCTCAGCAGCTGCTCTCTGTCAGGACTGTGTTCTGCTCAGGGACATTGTAGACCCTCTGTTGGAGCTGGGGGACCTTGTGGAGAATTTGGACAGTGTCCAAGGTCACAGGGATTCTTAGGGAGGCCATTTTCAGAGTTCTACGAGATCTGCAGGGTTCACAGGACAGGGTGGAAACCCTAGCTAGGGACACAGGCTATTCTCGGGTTCCCAGGCAGTTTCCGCAGAAGAGGCCTGCAGCCACTAGTCTTCAGCTGATCCAATGTCAGTAATTAATCAGGTGTAGATAGTGAGTGCCATGTTAGTGTGATGTAACAACTACCAGATACTCAAGGAATAGTCTAGAAGGTGCAATTTCCATCTTACATTCCTTGGAACATGAATGAGGTCATGGCTCCTCTGAGAAGCAATTGTCTTTTCCCGGTTCTAGGAACTAAAGCGCTTAGAGGGATAGGATTTTATTAACACTACATTTTAGCATGTTGAGTTTTCCTGGCTTCTTGGGCTGGCTCCCTGGTGTATGGCAGATAACAGGAGGTCATAATGCCACATTAGAGGAGAAGCTGGGGCCTGGCCTGGCCTCCTGTTTCCCCTTCTGGACACTCACTCATGCCTTGGGCTTCCATCCCTGTATCTGGCAGCACGTTTTCTTCTAATATGATCATTTGAAAACCGGAGCTCAAAGCAGCAAACGTTGTGAGGGGTTCAAGGGTTAGCTTGGAGACCCCAGATCCCAGGTGCTGTGAGACATGGGAACCAGGCTACTGGACAGAGCCTTCCCCCGAGAGCTGCGTGACGAAATTCGGTCTTCCTTGTGTTCGTGCTGGGAGCCCATCTCTGGGAAATGATAAGATTATTATCAGAGTGGAGCCCTCAAGATGGTATTAGTGGCCGTTAGGCCAAAGCATGAGAGATACCTTCTCTTCTGTCAAGGACACAGCCAGAAGATACTATCTGTGAGCCAGGAAGGGGGTCTTCCCCAGATGACACCCTAACTTTAGACCTCCAGCCTCAGAGCTAAAGAAAGACATCTGTGATTGAAAGCCACTGTCCCCTATTGCCTGCTCTGGCAGCTTACCTGGACCACAGGCAAGAGGCCTGTGAGGAGAAGCCACCTTTATCTCAGCGACTGGGGACTGCTGCTTGCAGTCTTCAGGAGGTGGTACCCACATGTGGCACAGTCCAGCTCTGGAGTTGGCGTGCCAGGAGGAAGGAGGAACATATGAGGAGCGCTCCATTCAGCCCTGGAACTCTAGTCTCTTATTCAAGGGCAGGGTGGCCCTGGGGGACTCAGCAGAGACCCAGCCCAAGCAGAGCTGGCACACATACAGCTCCTGGCCCATCCATCCCCATAATGTCCTGTGTCCTCTTTGCCAGCATGGGAACCTTCCCACCCCCACCCAAGGCTGGCTGGAGCTTGTGGGATGGCTCACACGTAGCATGAACCCACTGGTGACCCATTACTGCCTCCAGCCTGGGATGGGGATAGCCCAGCTCAGGTTCCCACAGTGTGGGGTGTTTGTTGATAAAAACACATGTTCTAGGGCTGCCTAACAGTATGCACAGCCCTTGCAGTGGACCCGAGTTCCATTCCCAGCTCCCACATCCAGCAACTCACAGCCACCTTCAGCTCTAGCTCCAGGGGAGCTGACATGCTGTTCTGTCCTCCAGGGTACTCCACAGCATGTAGCACATACTCACGGACACACAGAAACACACAAGTAAAAATACAATCTTAAAAGACAACAGGACCTGCAGAGGTCTCTCCGTGGTTTGAACACTTGCTGCCTTTTGCAAAGAAACAGGGTTCAGTTCCCAGCACCCACATTGATTGCAACTCCAGTCCTAGGGGATCTGATGCCCTCTTCTGGCGTCTGCTGATACTACATGCACGGACACACAGGCAAAGCACCTATGTACATAAAGTAAAAAAGTAAAAAAGAAGAGCTAGAGAGATGGCTCAGAGGTTAAGAGCATCTGGCTCCTTGTGCAAAGGTCCTGAGTTCAGTTCCCACAACCACATGGTGGCTCACAACCATCTATAATGAGATCTGGTGCCCTCTTCCGGTAAGCAGGCATACATGCAAGGCAGAACACTGTATACATAATAATAAATAAATAAATAGTATTGTTTTTTTTTTTTTTAAGTGAAAAAGAAATACCACACTTTCTCCACAGGCTGCTACCCTAAGGCTGATTGTTGCCAGGGCTGTTTGTTGAGTGACTAAATGATAGATCCAAGGGCAGACATCCAGAATGCTTACTGCAAAGGGTCCCTTCTGGGCCTCTGCTTGATGCCCACCCTTTGCCATCTGTCTCCCGACAGGACCTCCCACTCACGGGCCAAGGCTGAGGCAGCACTCACAGCTGCTCAAAAAGCCCAGGAGGAAGCACGGATCGCCAGGATCACTGCCAAAGAGTTCTCGCCTTCCTTCCAGCACAGGGAAAACGGTGAGTTCTGTGTGGCTCTGAGGGGTGGAGGCCTGGGCAGTGGCTCCTGCTGCTACCTGGGGCTAATTGTCACTCACCCAGAGCTGATGCCTTACAAACATATATGTGGGTGGGTGTGCCTGGACTCTATCCACTGTTTCCAAGCTCTCTGCATGTATGGACACTGCCTTTCCTCTCCTGGGTCCCATCTACAATGGTGGCTTTGTGTCCCCTGCAGCAAGGGTGACAGATGAGCTGAATCTAGTCTCATTTGATGACTTTTTTAAAAAGATTTATTTATTATGTATACAGTTCTGCCTTGCATATACACCTACTCATCAGAAGAGGGCACCAGATCCCATGTGGTTGCTGGGAATCAATCTCAGAACCTTTGGAAGAGGGGCCAGTGCTCTTAACCTCTGAGCCATCTCTCCAGCCCCCTGTTGCTTGTTTCTAATACAAGGTCTTATTCTGTGGCCCAGGCTGTTCCATGGCAATCCTCCTGCCTCAGCCTCCTCTGTGCTGTCTTATTTCATCTTAATGCACCCCCGATGAGGTGCAGACAGCCATGTGTGGCCAGTGGCTGCCAGCTTGGGGTTCTCCAGTGAGTGGAGGCTTGTGCTGTGTCCCTCGGAAGTCACTCCCTTTTGGGAGATGTGTGAGGGCTGCTCTGGGGCGGAGTCTCCAGTGTCAGGACAGTCGACTGTATGGGGGCTGGGCTGTGCCCACTCAGTCCCAGAGTGCCCAAACTGTCCTTCCTGTCCACTCCCAGCTCCTGTACACTGTATGTATGCATATGTGTCGCTGTAAGGGCGAGGATAGAAAGTCAAATAAGGCTACGAGACTAGGGTATGCTGTGCCCAGTCTGTGTTCTCAGGGAGCAAAGCTCACATAGCTGGTGCTGGGCCTATCCTGGTCAGGTTGGATGAGAGTCTTGCTGTCTGTTCCTTCTGGAGCCGTCTAGGCTCCACTCTGGTATCCCGCTGTGTGGTGGCCACAGCACCTCTCTGAGATGTTTCTGGTATAGAGGGGAAGGAAGCCATCAACTCGGCATAGTATCTGTCACCCAGCTGCTCCCAGCTTTAAGAGAAAGTCAGGAAAAGCCCTGGTCCCTGGTGGAGGGCCTAGTTCCTAGTCAGACTGAGGTGTCTCAGGTGAGCCACATGTAGAACACGTAGGCGGACAAACATGCTAATAATTCCCACAGGTCCCCAGCTCCAGCCCCGAATGCTGCGGAGTCCTTCCTTGGGTCCTGCTACACTGCCCCTAGGAGCTTTGGTTGGAGGGGATACAATACTGTCTGAGGCACTTATGTGCAGACTGGTGACCAAGAGAGGCATCCACTGGGTGTTCTGAGGCGCCCTGGGCAGAGCCCACAGGATCCGGACCTGCCCACAGCTGGCCTAGGATCTCTGACAGCCAGCTGCGTTGTCTTAGACCCCATGTATGTGGGCCTTGGAGCACCCAGCTGGCCTACGATGCCATTTCTTCCGGGGAGGCCTCAGCTGGTGTCTGTTTTCTGTCCAGAGTTGCCTCCTTGAGAAAGTCTGTGAGGAAGGCCTTCAACCCGAAGGATCTCAGCGGCCCCATTACTGGGATGGGACCGGAACATGGGACTTGGCTCTGCAGGACCCCTTCCTGGCTGATGCTGTCTGTGGTCTCTGGCCACGCCTGCAACCTGGGAGGCCGCCATGGCCACCCCTCTCCAGCATTGCGTTACTTCTAGGTGTCCTTAAATCCCTTCTGGGATTCACTTCTCCACCTCAGGACATTTCCTAGAATGCATTAATGGCCAGTGGGGCCTTGCTGGAAGGGGACTGGGTGTCAGGTGTCCCCCTCCCCGGTCCTCCAGGCCAAGCAGCTGCTGTGATCTCTTACAGAGACTCCCGAGGACAACTGACCACTCGCAGTCTTGGGAAGAGTGTAGCAGAACTGGCATTTATAACGGGTCCTGGATCATGAGCTCAGCTGGTTCTAAAAATCATTACCAAAGTGTTTATCAGCCAGGGGCAGAAGGCTACCTACCTTCCGGCTGCCTGCTTGGGGAAGACCCTGGTAGCTAGTCCCTCTGTGACTTCCTGAGGCCACAGAGTTGGGAGGAGGGGGTTCAGGCTGGGCCAGGGCAGTACCCAGAGCACCCAAGCTGATACCCCATCCCTAAAGCCTGCGCAGACCTGTGCCTGGGACACAAGGCAGGAAGGAAGGCCCTGCGATTAAGTTGTAGTTCCCCCAGGCTCCTTCTTGGACTTCATAATGGTCTTCCAGGGACAGCACGTGCTTTGCGGCTAATTTTAGCTGAGAATGACCTCTGCTGTGCTGGAAGCCAGGCGCGAGCCAGTGCTCTAAGAAGCAGGTCTAACAGGCAGGCAGCCTCACCCTTGTGAGGAAAGCCACACAGCCACCAGTAGGCTCAAGCCCTGACTTCCCACGTCCCTGATGTCTGGCTAAGGGACTGTGGTGACAGGAGGTGCCTGGCTCTAAGATCCTGCCAGTTATCCTTGTTGGGTGACCCAATCCACGCTGGGCACAAGACCTCTCCATGGGCTCCGTGTAACCCCGTGCTCTTTTGTCTCCCACCCAAGGGCTTGAGTACCAGAGGCCAAAGCACCAGATGTCCTGCGATGACATCGAGGTGCTCTCCACCGGGACCCCCCTGCAGCAGGAGAGCCCCGAGCTGTACCGCAAGGGCACTACCCCTTCTGATCTGACCCCCGACGACAGCCCCCTGCAGAGCTTCCCCGCCAGCCCCGCGGCTACTCCTCCACCAGCTCCTGCCTCCAGGAACAAGATGGCGCACTTCTCCAGGCAGGTCTCAGTGGATGAGGAGCGAAGTGGGGACATCCAGATGCTCCTCGAGGGCCGCGGAGGGGACTATGCCCGCAACAGCTGGGGCGAGGAGAAGGCGGGGGCCTCTAGGGGTATCCGCAGTGGTGCCCTGCGCAGCGGCCAGCCCACTGAGGACTTCCGCACCCGGGGTTCGGGCCACAAGCAGCCCGGGAACCCCAAGCCCCGGGAGCGGCGGACGGAGTCCCCCAGCACGTTCTCGTGGACTTCTCACCACCGGGCAGGCAATCCCTGTTCCGGGGGCCACAAGCTGCCAGAGCCAGATGAGGAGCAGCTGAGCAACTACAAGCTGGAGATGAAGCCCTTACTAAGGATGGATGCCTGTCCACAGGATACGCACCCTCAGAGACGGCGTCCCAGTCGGGGTGCTGGGGGAGACCGGCGCTCTGAGGACCGGGGCTTCGGGCTGCAGAGACTGAGGTCCAAGTCCCAGAACAAGGAGAACCTCAGGCCGGCCTCCTCTGCAGAGCCCACGGTGCAGAAACTGGAGAGCCTGCGGCTGGGGGACCGGCCCGAGCCCCGTCTGCTGCGCTGGGACTTGACCTTTTCCCCACCCCAGAAGTCCCTGCCTGTTGCACTCGAGTCTGATGAGGAAACTGGGGATGAGCTCAAGTCCAGCACGGTGAGTGGTGCCACCCCTTGCTGGGCAGAGGCAGTGAGACCCAGGGCCAACTCCTGGGTCTGTTTACTCTGCTTTCTGTGGATTTCCTCTCCGGGGGTTGGGGTACAGCCGGTGTGGGTGTCTACAGCAAGTAGAGATGGTGTGACATAGCGGTCACACTGGCTTTAGAAGGATCTCCAAGAAGGCTCCTCCTGGGCTCACCCTTTAGAAGCAGCATGGCTGCCTGTGATGGCGCCCTGCTCTGTTGTGTGCAGACTGTTGCTGTCGTGGTCTGTGCTCTGGGTTCGGGCTGGAGTGGGGCTGAGGCCCCTCTGTCCAGACAGCCTTTCTTTTCTGAGCGCCTCTCATTTGTGCTAGATGCCAAAACTGTTAAAGGGTCCAGCTCCCAAGAAGTTGATGCTTTACACATGGGACAGCAGGTTGGAACCCTGTACACCTGCCCTGAGGCTAGCCTCCAAGGCCTCCCTTGCTGTGGAGCTATAGTTACCCAAGCAGTAGGACACTGCTAGGAATGCGTAGCATTGAGGTTCCTGGGCCCCTTGGCCTTTGGAGGTTTATTACGTCTCAAGGGGTGTAGGTCAGACTCCCACATGAGTTCCCCTCACTGGACCCTGGGAGCAACTCTTTGCCTGGGCAGGCAACCCCCAGTTTTCTTTCCCTGTCCCGGGATGGGCCTATTGGAGGAAACGGCAGCCTTCCCTGGGCTGGCCAGTGCTGAGACACTTATGGGGCCTCCTGGGACCTCTAAGCCCACAGCTGGCCCCGTGGCAGAATGCAGCTGGAAGGGATGCTGGCACAGAAGCCTGGTGTCCTGTCCTGTGTACCAGAGGACTCGGCAGACAGGCCCCGTCCACCCACATAGACAACCACCCTCTGGTGCCTGAGCTTTACGTGACAGGCTGGGTTTCTGAGCATCTAGCTGTGTGTATGGAGGGGCAAGGCGTGCCCCACAGGAGTGCTCTGTGGCATGTGACTTGTGTGGGTCACACACCTGTGCCAGGCCCAGTGGGAGTCCCTGCGGGGTTCTTATTGCTGCCATAGCAGCGGTCAGTGTCCATCTCAAGGGGCCCTGGGGGTGCTGTGGTTTCATCTCACAGCCCCAGGAGTCCCTTGCTGTAGGGAAGCAGCTTCCCATGGCCCTTGATTCTCCTTGAAGAGACTTCGTCCTTGCTGCTGCAGCTGGAAAATGCCTCTTCCTCTCTGGTTGCTGTGGGCCACAGCACTAGCTTGGGCCTCACCCTGCCGCACACAGCCTGCTGCGCAGTTGTGGGCACGCAGTGTGTACGGCTATTTCCAGAGCAGCACAGCAGTGGGCGGGGGTGGGAGGCTCAGGAGTAGTTCTATATTTAGCCCTCTTAACCATGTTGGCTTCTTTTGGGTGCCTTAAGACGAGGTTTCTGGCTGGGAATCTATATCAATGGTAGAGTGCACTTGCCCGGTGCCCGTATGTCCCTAGGTTCAGTCCCCAGCACCACTGAAAAGGAAAAGCAAAGTTTTAGCCACGCCCATAACCCTAGCACTGCAGAGCTTGATACCGGAAGAGCACCACGAGGTCATCCCAGCATGCTCTCTCTTATGAGATAATCAACCTTGTAAATTGAACCTGAGGATATGAGTTTGATCCCTGGAACGGGGCGGCAGTGGTGAGGCACACCTTTAGTCCCAGCACTTGGGAGGCAGAGGCAGGCGAATCTCTGACTTCAAGGCCAGCCTGGTCTACAGAGTGAGTTCCAGGATAGCCAGGGCTACAGAGAGAAACCCTGTTTCAAAAAACAAAGAAACAAAAACATCAGCCACAGTGACAGCACTGGGAACATAGAAACAGGCAGATTCTCTGTGGCCAGCCAGGCTGGCTTACTTGGTGAGCTCCAGGCCAGTGAGAGTCTGTGCCAAGTAAAACAAGGTGGGAGGTTTCTGAGGAAACCTGGGGTTGTCCTGACTTCCACACGCATATACATACATGTGGGCACTTATACATGCTCACATACTTACACACAACCAAAACAAACACCCAGAGTTCCCTCGGATGGGTGTGCAAAGCATGAGGACTGGCCACAGGCTGGCTTTAAGTATGGGGAGGAGCCAGAAGCTTACAGTGGTGCACCCTGTGGCTTCCAGCTGGGGTGATCTGGGACACTCCCTCACTGCCCAAAGCCACCCACACTCCAAGGAGAGAAAGTGAAGAGACTCCAGCCCCACCCTGTGGTCACAACTTCCTGAGAAAGCAGGTGGGGTGTCTGTACTGTGTCCCACACGGTCCTGTGGGCCTGAGGGGAGATTAGGCAAGGAACAGCAGTGGAGCCCAGGCTTTGTGGCAGATAGGTGACTGTCCCTGGTTTAGTGGTGACCATGAGTGGCTTCTTGGAGGTTGGCTGCCAGCCATCTGAAAACCTGTGTTCCCCCCCAGCGCAGGGAGGGCTCTGTACAGTATGACCTGCCCTATGTCCTGGTCAGGGAAGGTGGTCCCTGGCTGGAGACATCCTCCAAGTTGTCTGGCAGTGGTGGATGGGTGGGAAAGACCCTCTGGCTCATAAGGGTCCTGGTCATGGTGAACTCTAAGGCCCTCTCTTGCACCTCAGGAGCCCCACCTCTCTCAAGTGATGGGCAGATGGTCCCTGATGGTAGTCACTTAGGTGGTGGGTGAAATCTTGCTGGGATGGGGATCTGGTCCCAAAGCTATCCTGCTACATGTCAGAGCTCCTCTGCCCTTTGACATACCTATGGGCCTGGGGCTGGATAGAACATCTATAGAATGGTAGGGAGCAGGGGGCTGCCACCAGGGACCAGGACCCAGTCCTTGACCAACTCTGCTTATTGTTGAGGCTCTTTCCATTTCCTTGCAAGGCTGGCTCAGCCCAGACATCATGGACTCCTCAAAGTCCACACCATAAAAGCACCAGAGTTCAGGAGGCCAACCTCCTTGTTCCTTCCTGCCAGGCTGAGCCCGGGGCTCCATTCACCCCCTTCAGCAAAATGCTAACAGGAGAATGGACTGGGCTGCTGGGGTCCTAGGCCCAGGTAGGACTGGCTACTTGGATCTTCCTCCCTTGGCCAGGGCCCAGAGTATTTTTTAAAAGCCCGTGCTTTGGCTGTGGAGGTAACTCATTAGTAAAGCACTTGCCTAATGTAATCATTAGCGTTGCAAAATAATATATATACTTAAGAAGCCCTCTGTTCAGCCAGGCATGTGGCACCCATAACCCCAGCATCCAAAAGGCAGAGCCAGGAGAACCAAGTTTGAAGATACTTGGGTAGATAGCAAGAAATAAGGGGGAAGCTCCCTGAAGCCTGCAGTCTGGCTGAGGAATCTTCAGCAGACACCTTTGCTAAGTGGTGTCTCTTGGGTCTGGGATGTGAGCTAGAAGGTGCGTGTGTGTGGTCAGCAGGTTGGGCATCATGTCTGCTCAGAGGATGAACTGCAGGGTGGTGGGCTGGGAGCCAGATGTGCTTGCTCTGCACTCACGGAGCCTGGCTGAGGCCTCTGCAGTGCTGGCTTCTCTCTGGACTGCTGGCTGTCAAGGGCAGATGCAAAGCCTCCCGCTGTGATGGGACTGTGGGGGCTTCCCCCCCTGCTCTGCATGCAAAGTCTGGCCAGGCAGGTGTCTTGGCGCTCTCAGGGCCAGTGGCTGTGATGGGGGTGAGAGTGAGCATCACTGAGAAAGACAGAGCCAAGGGCTTCAGGAAGTGCTGGGAGAAACTAGGTACTGACTGTATGTCAAGAACTGGATCCAAAAGAGCAGCCTGTGGGCAGCAAGTTGGTCTGCAAGCAGGAAGGAGGGAGCACAGGAGATTCCAAGTGACCCACCGAAGAGCCTCCCACAGGTTACTGAGAAAGAGTAGAGAGCCCTCCAAGGACACCAGTGAGTGGCCCTGTCCTCTCTGCCGTGGGCGTGGGCCACTCCCACTGAGGCACCTGTGGTAACGCCCTGCACTGGTATTACTCTCACCTGTCCTCTCTGTTCCAGGGCTCCGCTCCCATCTTGGTCGTCATGGTGATCCTGCTCAACATCGGAGTGGCCATTTTGTTTATTAACTTTTTCATCTGATGAGATTGTTGTGACCACGGAAGCAATGATGTACAAAAGGGACATTAAAAGCAAAACAAAAAGGGAAATTCTGACTTGGACAGCCCCATGACTCCTGTCTTTCCACAGAACAACATGATTGGGTATCACTCACAGTTTGCCTTTTTTTCTGGGTAATGTTTTTTTGGATTTTAGCCAAAATTCTTTGCTTGTATAACAGGATGCTGTGCAGCATGGCAGGAGGAGGCCGGCATGCCACCCCTCCAGCTTGGTGTGAAAGGGTCCCGGCAAACCAGCGGCCCAAAGATCGGGATCTTTGTTTCCTGCCGGCTGTGGAAGGTGGCGCTTGAAAGGAGGCACCTTCACAAGGGTGCCCGGCTACCCGGGGGAGGGGGAGAGCAGCTAGGTATTGCAGTTATGGAAGGCAAGTGGCTCTGTCCTCCTGTCTGGAGTAGCTGCTGGGAGTGTGGGCCCAGGGACAGGGTGTCCTGGTCTCTGTCTCCATGGAGTCTGTGCTGCATACCTGTGGAGGGAGAGGGAATCCCCTGCTCTTCTTCCCAGAACAGACCATGATCCCTCTTCTCGGCACTGCCCATGGCCCTCCTAAGGAGGCTGCCTCCCCACATTGAGTCTTACAGCAAATTCTGTTCCCTGCTGTCCTCCACTCATCCATTGTCAGCCCTGTCCAGCCATCCTCCCTCCAGACCCAGGGAGGCCATGCTGCAGATGTCCAGGGCTGACCCCAATCTGGCCAGGCACACTTGAGCCCTGATGCCAAGGGGCATGCCCACATGCCCCGGACAGCCTGACAGCACGCCTGGGCTGAGCATGTGGCGTTTTGCACCTAGTATGCAGGATGTATATTCAGGCTTCCGTGTCCCTGGCAGTGACGCCCCTTGGAGGACGTCACTTCTCACTGACCTCCACGGGGTCTCACATCTTTGCACTGTGCCTGCCTTGACTACCCCTAAAAGATATGCATATTCCCTCCAGATGCCTCAGTGCTACTCCAGAGTGAGTCTGGTCCCGGGACAGGAATGTGGTTGAAGCCAGTGGCTTGAATGTCCTGGAGACTGTTGCATACCCAGCACTCCCCGGATGTACAATGTAACTTGTTTCAGTCAAACAACAGGTTCCTCATGTCTCTGCCTTCTCTACCAGGGTTGTTCCCTCATCCAAACAAACGAACAAGGGATGCCAGCTCGCCTGGTACCCATGGCTCCGTCAGTCTTCTTGGGTGCAGCCCGTCTGTCTTATGGACTTTGCCTTGCTTTGCTCGTGTTCAGCTGTTCTCTGCTACCTTTCGAGCAGATTTCTTTACTACAGTGCACTGGATTGCTATATTTTTAACCAGAAATAAACTACAGATTAGAGCATGTTCCAGCGACACTCAGCTTTATTGTTTCCGTTATCCCCCCTGTTCCCTATCCACTGCCTGTCCCTCCTCCCAGGCTGGTTTGGATCAGGGGTTGAGGTGGGGGAGGCAGGTGACCCAATGCACTTCTGGTGTTTCTAAAGGGTTCCATCTTTTTGTACAGCTTACTTTTCCATACACCTTTTTAATATCAAGTGGTTGCTACAGAAATGGTATGAACCAAATAAAGACTCCTGCTCTTTGCAGCCACAAGAGCCGTCCATACTGGACTATGTGAATTATAATTGTCTGCAGACATGAGGGAGGGACTCAGTGTGCATCCCATGAGCTGCCTGACCCGGAAGGGTACCTACTCACGTAGGTAGGCACGTTTACACACATCACCCTGACACATGCACAAAGCACAGCCCAAATGTGCTTAAGAGTCTCTCACAGAGGACAGCACATATCCACTATGAGTGATGTTACCACAGAGCCAAACCCACAGCCTGGCCCTCCACCGGCAGCCTGTGGTAATGCAGTACGTGGTCATTTCTATAGTCCTAGTGGATTCTAGGCGGGTGTGGTGGAGCCTGAGATACACCCGGGGTCTTGAGAGATAGAGCAAGGTGGCCGCAGTGAAGGAGACGCCACGCTGTGGCTACTTTTCTCCCGTCTGTGCAGAGCCTACCTCCTCTCCAAAGGCGTAGTGGATGCAGCATGTTGAACAGGAGGACTGCCGGGGACAGAACAGCATGTCACTCTGGCTCCCAGGGCACACAGCATGTGATGAGTTTTAACTGAGATCCAGCCCAACCTCAGAAGACACACTTTCTTCCAGAGTGAAGAGAAATCCTTCCTGGAGAAGGTGGAAGACACCCAAGGCCCTTATGCCTGCAGCATGGCTGTTAAACAGAGTCCTGCACACTGGGGGCTCAACATCCGCATATATGACGTGCAGGCATGGGTCCAGAACAGAATCCTGGGCAGAGATTCTGCTCACACAGAGCAGACTGCTTTCTACAAAAGTCTCTGCTCTGAACTCAACTACCAACAGCCACACTAATCCAGGAACCACAGCCTGCGGTCACCTCTGGCTAGGTCAGTATTCCAGGCAGAGGGCAGCCACAGGTCCCAGTGTCAGCTTGCTCCTACTCACTGACCAAGTCCAGCTTAGACAGACCACAGGGTCACCCTCAAGGAGCCTGAAGACAGTGCTGTGAGCCCAGAGTGCTCGGAGGCCCAGCCGTATGAGTGATGAACATTTAGGGAGACAAGAGGTTCTGGGGTGCTGTCTTTCTGGCTTGGTTGCCCTCCAAAAATCTTGGATGGCTGGACTGTTCCAGGCAGGAACCCCTGCACAGGTAACCAGGCATGCCCTATCATATACCCATGCTGCCCTGCTCCAAGGTCTCTTTGGCTGCTTTTTCCATCCCCTCTGTAACACTCCTCAAGAGGATGTAGAATGTTATCTTCTCTTCACGTTTCAGCTCAGTTTTACTGGGTCTTCCTGCTCTTGTCTTCCCACTGTTGTAGTCTCTGGTTGTGGAAGCTCAGCCATTGTACCTACTAGATTCCAACATCTCTGCGCCTTGCGATCGATCCACTGATGGCCACCCAGGCCACTTCTAGATAGCCCTGAGCCACTACTTCACCATTGCCATGGGTGAGCGTCCAGGTGAGCACTGCTGTCTTGCTGAGGTCCTTAGCTGTAGGCTGAGCACATACCAGGACAGCCAAGTGTCCATAAGTGCCAAGAACTCTGTCCTATGTACCTCGGCCTTGAAAGAGGAAAACTTAGATGTCTTTGTTCAAATTAACAACAGGAAAAAGCTAAGCTGCATTCCACTGTGAATACTGTGAACATGGGCACAAGATCCACGGGGCCCCTTCCTGAGGAGCTAGACAAGGCCTGCAGGGCAGCATGCAAACAAGGATACAGGCATGTGGAAGGGACGCCCCTCAAGGGCAGCAGCACTGAGTCTTCATGTGGCCAAGTCCTCTCCAGACTGTAACAGATGCTGTTCCTGGAGTCTGCTTTTCCATCCCTCCCCCAGTGTGGCCAAGGCTGAAATGCATACTGGGCAGTCTCCTTTGGCTCAGCTCCTTCTTAAACTTCAGAGAAATACAGTAAGGTGGGAAGCAAGCATACTCCACAGGAGCTAGACTGTTAAGAGGACACAGGCCAAGGGTTTCCAGGGTTGTCAGCACAGGCAAGGCAGTCAGCCATCTCACAACTACCTCACTTCTGGGCTGGCCTGTACCCATCCACCCCAAACCATAGGCCAAGATGCAAACATCCATCTACAGGGCGTTTAGACTCGCTCACACTGACTCATCCTGACGTTTGTCCTTTCCCACCCAGCTGCCGGTGGGTCTCAGCTGGATGCTGGTCCCCTTCTGTGTTGACATGCCTGCTAGCACGCTGCTTTCGGTCTACCTTGATGACCTTGACTCAACTTTTGTGAAGGCCAGCCTAGAACTAGAGCCGTCTCTTCAAGGGTGATGTCCGAGGCTGCTGAGGATCCTATGTCCTCAAGTCACAGCAGCCTTCTCACTGCAGCCTTCCCTGCACTGTGCACAAGTGGAAATAAGTGCAGCCTGTAGGGTACACAGGTCAACCCTGTGCACCAAACGGGTTCTGTTTGATCCCTCTCAGGGTCAACATCCACTTTAAGTAGGGATGTCCCGCCAACTTACCTCCAAAAAATGGCTCCCACAGACCATCCCGAGTCCACAAGGTAGGCACTGGGTACAGGCTGAAGACTCAGGACACAGCGGGGTAGCATCAGGGGGCGTGCAGCATCCTTCATCCTGAGGCCCCGTGTCTGGCAGCTCCCTGCTGCTCATGAGACCTACCAGCCTGAGAACAGGCCCAGTGGGAACAGCTGTAGCATCTGCCTGCAGCTGAAAACAGCCCCTCAGACAAACACTCTTCTGCTCAGTGTCTTCCTGGGCTGGCAGCCCTGACCCTGCTGTTGCCCACAGGTCAGCGATCCCTCCTAGCAGGCCAATACGGACTGCTCTAGCTGGAGCCTGCTGATTACACCATTCACCACTCCCAAAGAAAAGCTACCCAGATGACCTGAGGATAGCATGTGAGTTTCACATGGCGAAGACATGGTGTAGACGCCTTCATCGACCGGGTCGACAGTCACCTGCTTAACCTTTTCTAATCTTTTTTTCTCTTGGTGCATGTGAACCACTCATTAATATGACTGACCGCTTTTTAGCCCAGGAGGGGCTGCCAACTGAGTTTCCTCTCTGCCACAGTGGCTGCTCTTAGCCTCGTTACTTGGAAACAGCTCGGTTATTAAACTGGAAACATATCCTCTCTAATGAATGTAACTTTAAATCAGATCTCACTCCTGAAGCAAGGGACAGTCAGATTCAAAATCCTTTGCTCCTTTACTTAATAAACTCATTTAAAACCATGGGAAGCTTGGCTCATTTCATTATAAACCACCTTCCTGAAGCCCCCTCGGCCACACGCAGGGTGGGTGGAGCCTCCACCTCCCACAGCCAGCTTGACCATCTCATGGCACATTCCACCTTTGTGGACAGGAGGATACGGACAGCAATGAGCCCCCACGCAAACTAAGCCTCCTTCTCACCAGAGAGGTTGCTGGGCTCGTCTCTGTGACAAAACCCAGCCCCTGCACTGTGGCCAGCTGCGGTGCTGACCACTAACTGGGTGTCCACTGTCCACTGCTGCATCAAGGACACTGGGTCGGACTCTGAGTGACTGAAAGCTGAGAGCATTCCCTCGGGAAGCACTTTGCCCTGCAGGCTTAACCTGGCCATGGCAGCAGCAGTACCTTGTTCTTTTGGCACATGGATCTGAGTGACGGTTGCCACACTGACCTCACTCCAGGGCTGGTGCCCCACACTCCTTCACATACAGG